ACTCCCCGGCACCCCCCGGCCCCCACACCCCCATCCCCGCCGCCCCCCGCCCCGGATCCCCATGATCCCGACATCCCCATCCCCTCCCGGCCCCCCCGGCTCCTACACCCCCATCCTTGCCCACCCGTCTCCCCACCGCGCCCGCGCCTCCGCTCCATTCCCCCGGTCCATCCCCCTTGTCCATCCTCCGTCCATCTCCCGCTCTGTCTGTCCGGCCGCACCCCCGTCTGTCCGTCTGTCCCCCCCTCCCTGGGCGGTTCTGACCAGCGGCGGGCAGAGGGTGATGGGTGGGGGGCCTGGGCAGTGCCAGGGGGTGCATCTGGCTGGGTGGGGGTCACGGACAGAGCTTGGGGGGACGAGAGGGTGGGGGTGGTCCCAGACCTTGCGGTACAAAGCGGTGGGGAGGGGGGGGGGGTCCCGGGGGGCGCCAGGGGTTCGTGATGGTGGGTGGGGGTCACAAACCAGGGGGTGAAAGAAGTTGGGTGGGGACCGTGGACAGGGCTTGGGGGGTGCTGGGGGCTGGGTGGGGGTCCTGAGCAGAGCTTGAGGGTGTCTGATGGTGGGTGGAGGTCCCAGGTCAGGGGGTGCATGATGGTGGGTGGGCAGGGGGATCCTGAGCAGCACCCGGGGGTGCAGGATGGTGGGGGGTGCATCAGGCAGGCAGGGTAGGCCTTGGGGTCCCCACGGTTCCCTGTGACCTCATCCTGCACCCCAAACCCTCCTGGCAAAGCCCTTGTGCCAGGGTGAGGCGTGCCGGGGGGTGAGAGGGGGGCTGTGGGGTGAGGGGGCTCCCTGACCCGTGCTGTCTCAGCTCCCCTCTGGCGTCAGCCCTGCCCATTCCCGTCCCGCGGGGTGACAGACGTGCCAGGGCTCCTCACTGCCACCCCAGCGCCTGGCATCCCCCGCCCCACCTCATGGGACCGTGGGGTCAGACTGGGAGGCACTGGGGTCAGACTGGGAAGCACTGGGGAGCCAGCGAGGAGCCAGTGTCCCTCCGGTGGCCGTACCACCCTCTGGGGATGGTGATGGTGGGGGGACAGCGAGTGGGGACGGGACGGCCATGTCGGTGCCCCCGCGCTAGGGGTGGCACCATGGCCCCCCCCTCTTCGGCGGAGCCCGGGGTGGGGTGCCAGCTGTCCCCGGCAGCTGCGGGTGGCCGCGGGGACATTCCTGCCCTCGGGTGCCGGCTGTCCCCGCCATGCGGGGGGACACCCCCAGCCCCTCCATTCCTCAAACCCGCCCCCCCCCGCCCCTGTGCATCGCTGGAGCAGCTGCTGCGAATTTCCCCCTCTCGCCCATTGCCACATCTGGGCCGCATCTGGGCCGGGGCGGGTCGGGGTGCCGGGTGGAGCGGGGGGTTCCGGGGGGCCGGGGCTGCGGGGGGCCGGGCGGGAGCCCCGGGGCGCGGGATGAAGGAGGTCGTTGCCTGGGTGACGGCGCCGGAGCCGGGACCGCTGCCAAGGGCTGCGGATCATGCGCAGGATGGCGCGGGCTCGGGGGGGCCGGGGGCACACGGGGGTTTAGGGTCCCCCCCTCCCTCGAGCCGGGCCCTGTAGCGGGGACTTGCTGGGGAGATCCCTCCCACTGCTGCCGGTGGGGCCTGCTGGGGTCGAGACCCCCGACCTTGGGACAGGTGTGAGCGACACCCTGGGGATGCCCACCTCTGGTGGGGGAGTTGAGAGTGACGTGACTGGGTGCACCCACCCGGGTGGGCACGGCACCCTGGGGCCAGGAGCCCCCTCAAGGGGGCACGCAGCAGTGATGCTCACACCACCTCAGGACCTGCTGCCTACTGGGGAGCACCTGTGACCTGCCAGGGTGGTGGCTGTGACCTGCTGGGGATGGTGGGCACTGGGATGGCTCTCACCACCTGCTGGGATTGTGGCCATGACCCACCAGGATGGTGCCCGTGGCTTTCTGGGATGGTGCCTGTGACCTGTCAGGGTGGGTCCCACCACCTGCAGGGATGGTGACCATCACCCCCCCAGATGGTGGCTGTGATGGTGACCATGACACCCCTGGGATGGTGGCCATGACCTGCCAGGGTGTGTTCCACCACCTGCTGAAATGGTGGCCAGACCCCCTGTGCTGTTGACCATGACCCCCTGTGATGGGGCAAGACAGGTCCCACCACCTGTTGGTGTGGTGCCCATCATCCATCAGGATGGTGCCCATGACCCCCTGGGGTGGTGTGTGTGACCCCTGGCTTGTGTCCCACCACCTGCTGGGATGGTGCCCCTGAGGTGTGTCCCACCCACCCTGTCCCTGTCCCTGTCCCGCTCCCTCTCCCTCTCCCTGTCCCTCTCCTGGTGGCACTGTGGGGGTGCTGTGCCCATGCCTGTGCCCACAGCAGTGTCCCCACCGTGTCCCCACAGAGGTGCTGCTGCGGGTGCAGGTGTTTGAGAGTGGGACTCTGGCCCCGCTGCCGCAGGCGGCCCTGGACGTGTTTGGCGCCCGCAGCGCGCTGGCAGCCGGGACCACCGACCACACGGGCACCGGGGTCCTGCCCGTGCCCTACCGCCTGGGCTCCTGGCTGCTCGTCACCGCCGCGCGTCGCGGATACGTCACCGCCTCTGTCCCCTGGCGCGTCACCAAACTGCCACGTGAGTCACCCCCAGCCTGGGGGTACCCCAGTGCCTTCCTGGGCAGCTCTGGCTGGGAGTCCCCAGTCCCTTACTGGGGCCTCTGAGTCTGACTGGGGGGCACAATCCTTTCCTAAAGCGATCCCAAATCTCTTCCTGAGGGTTCTGGGCCCTATTGGAGGTTCTAAATTCCTAACTGGGGGGCTCTGAGCCCTGGTGTGGGGTCCTTAGTCCCTACTGGGACCTCAGTCCCTTCCTTACCCCTAATGGGTTTCAGTGTAGGGGACCCTTACAGAAGGGTGTTTGGGAGGGCTCTGGCCCTTTTGGGAGGGGACAACCATGTCATTGTGGCCCCCAAGTCCTCCCATCCCATCCCATCCCATCCCATCCCAGGGCAGGGGAAGTTGGGGGCTCCCCCTGGGATACACTCCAGCCCTTTTCCCCAGGGCAGGGGGGAGTGGGGGGTGGCACACATGGGAGCACTCAGCTGGGGAGGTGGGTATGGGGGTACAGGGCTTGTGGAGTCCAGGATGGGGAGGGAGATGGGGGAATGGGGGGTACTGGGTTGAAGTGATACAGGGACAGGGATGGAGGGTGCATGGATGGGATTGTGGAGGGGGTCCCCCCCACCCTGCCCACTTCCTGCCCCCACCTCTTCCTCCTGTCCCTGTCCCCAAATGCTCCTCACCCCTTGCTGTCTCCCCTTTCCCCACCCCCTCTCTCTCCCCATCAGTCCCCCCAAGCCTGGGAGGAGTGTGTGTGTATTTTGGGGTCCCCCACTGCCCCCTCTTCCCCTTGCAGTCTACGCCTCCATCAGCCTCTACCTGCTCCCGGAGCGCCCGGCCACCCTCATCCTCTACGAGGACCTGGTCCAGATCCTCCTGGGATCCCCAGGTGAGACAGGGGGATGGCGGTGGGTGACACCACCGGTCCCCCTGGGTGCTGCCACCCAGCCTGTGCCCCCCGGCTGAACCACGGGGATGTCGGTGGGTGACACCACCGTCCCCCGCCTCTTGCTGCCATCCGCCGTGTCCCCGCAGGTGGCCGTGGGCAGCCGTGGGCGCAGTTTCCCCGGCGGGCAGCCCGCCTGCCCCGCAGCTCTACCTACAGCCAGCTCGCCGCATCCCTCACCGCCGCCTCCGGCCCCGGCCCGGCCCGCGCCTTCCCCGCCTTCCTCGGGGCCGAGCAGGACGGCAGCGGTACGGGGGACACCGGGGACTTGGGGAGTGGGGGGCGCACCCCATGTGGCCCTTCCTTAGGGATGTCCCCGTCCTTGTCCCCGCAGCCAATGGCACCTGGCTGGAGCTGGCGCCGGTGGCGGCTGTCAGCGTCCACCTGTTCACCGGGAACGGGACCGAGGTGCCGCTGGCCGGCCCCGTCCACCTGTCCGTCCCTTTGGCCCCCGACGCCGCGGCCGTGGTGGCCACCAGCGTGCCAGCCTGGAGGTTTGACCCCAAGAGCGGTGAGTGCTGCCGGAGCGTGGCAGAGGGGGACACGGCTCCTGCTGTGGGTGGTGGGGGCTGTGAGGGGTTTGAGGGGTCTCAGCCCGGCGTGTCCCCACAGGGCTGTGGGTCCGTAACGGGACGGGGCTGATCCGAAAGGAAGGCCGGCAGCTGTACTGGACGTTCGTCTCCTCCCAGCTGGGATACTGGGCAGCAGCTCTGCCCTCCCCCAGCACAGGTGAGGTGACACGTGTGGGTGCCCTCCTGGCCTGTGTCCCTTGGCTCTGGGGACAGGCTGGCTGGGGACAGGGTGGCAGCACCGTGGGGTGTTTCCCTCTCTGACCCCCTGTCCCAGAGCTGCCTGAGGGAGCTGGGACCACCCTGGGGTGCTCCTGTTGGGGTGGGGACTCCCCCTGATCCCGCTGTCCCCAGGGCTGCCTGAGGCTGGGGGGCATTGCAGCCCCTTGGGGTGCTCTGGTTCCCTTTGCCCCTCCGTCCAGACCTGTCCCAGGACAGCCCCCCAGGGCACTCTTGAGGGGGGCTCCCCTCTGACCCTGTTGTCCCCAGGGCTGGTGGCGATGGCAGCAGGTGTGACAGACATCACCACCTATCACACCATCTTCCTCCTCACCATTCTGGGTGCCCTGGCGCTGCTTGTCCTCATCCTCCTCTGCCTCCTCATCTACTACTGCAGGTCAGCACCGGCTGCATCCTCACCACGCTGGGGGTGGGAACAGAACCCAACATTCCCTGTGGGAATGGGAGTCAGCACCCACCTGTAACCCCTGGGTGCCCCATAACTGGGGGGGAGCACTTCCAGGCACCGTGTAACTGGTTATGGGGAGGGGGCAGCATCCTCCTGGTAGCCCTGGGTGCCCTGTATCTGGCTTTGGGAAGGGGGCACCACCCCATGGCACCCCCAGGTGCCCTAGACCTGGCTATGGGAAAGGGGCACCACCCTCCTGGCATCCTTGAGTGCCCTGTAGCCGTTTTGGGGGAGTCACTGCCCCTTGGAACCTCCCAATGCCCTATAGTTGGCTATGGGAAGGAAGCACCAGCCCGTGGCACCTCTGGGTGCTCTTTGGCTGGATTTGGGAGCCAGACACCGATCTCCAGACACCTGTAGGGTGTCCTACGGCTGGCTTGGGAGGGGGGACACCACTACCCAGCACCCCCGCGTGCCCTGTAGCTCCCTCCTGTAGCTCCTTCCAGCAGGCGAGGGAGGGGGGAGCAGGCGGCCCCCGGCCCCACGTGCCCCCGTCTCCCCGCAGGCGGCGGTGCCTGAAGCCGCGGGCGCAGCACCGCAAGCTGCCGCTGCCGGGGCCGCTGGACGCGGCGCGCCGAGACCAGGCCACGTCGGTGTCCCAGCTGGACCTCCTGTGCGGGGGCAGCCACCTGGAGACCGCCTCCTCGGGGGGGGACACCGACCTGCCCACCCCCAGCCTGCCCCCCTCGACCCGCGAGCTGACCCCCGCCCGGCCG